TTTTCCCTGCTATCAGTCTGGGGGCCCGTTAGTTCCTCCTTGTTCAGGTCAGCTGTCTCTATGTGTTTCTGGTGCCTGGTCTTGCCCTCTCCCTCTGCATGTGGATTCTAGTTTGATTCAGTGTTTAGGTGTAGGTGTTTGCTTCTGTTTCTAACAGGTACTAGATGAAGGCTCCATGATGGTGGATAAGTTAATTGTTGATCTCACTATGTGGGAAGGACATTTATGGTAGCCTTTCCACGGTTGCTCAAATTGTTAGTTGGCGGCAGTCTTGTAGGTCTCTAGACCTTTCTTTAGGTTCTTTAACAGCTGAACACATCTGGCTGGCCCTGTGACTAATTTTATAGGGGATTACAAGTTAAGAGTTAGCTAGCCTTAAATCTCAGAGCAAACTTTGGACTTGAATTTTTGTTGTTATCAAAACCCTCAGAGCCCAGCAATGGAGGTGCATGCCTTTAATCCCAGCATTCAGGAGGCAGAGGCAGGTAGGCAGAGGCAGGTAGATCTCTGTGAGTTGGAGACCAGCCTGGTCTACAAGAGCTAGCCACAGAGAAACCCTCTCTCAAAGCACCCCCTCAAAACAAAACAACAACAACAAAAAACCCCAAAAAAACAAAAAACCAAAAAAAGAAACAAAAAAAAAAAAAACTCTCAGAAATATGAGGAATCAAGAATCAAGGAATCAAAACAGGATGAATTTCACATTAGGCAAAGAAGAGTAGACTTGCTGACAAGTGGTAGACTGCTGTAGTTTAAGGACATGTACTTGGATATTAAGTTGATAAGGCATGACCTATTGTGCATAAAATTAACTGGAGTAGAAGTAGAAGACTCATTTTGCCTTTGAGCAGTATCTGCAGGCTGTGGTCTGGATGAGGGCATTCTTGAATGCTACTGTTCTGTCATAACAATCTTTGTTTCTAGGAGATATTTTGTTCACTCTTTCAAATTTTCTACAGAATTGTGCATTTCATTTGAAAGTAAGACAGCTTTTTCCTCCTGTCTCATTTCTATACTACTTACTTTTCTTGTCTCTTTTGTAAGTTTTGCTTTATTAAGATGTCAAAAAGGAACGGTGAAAGCACACTGAAATATTTTAAATATTGGACTGCTAGACAATATAGTATGTCTGTGGATAGCTTTCTGTGTTTCAAAGACAGAGCCTTCTATATGTCCTCACTTTGTTGAAGAATGGGAAGGTATCTTGTCTGAGATCTTTATTACAAGGGTACTACTCACTAATCCCACCCCAGAGGTTAGTACCCTCATGATTTAACCACCTCCCAGAGGCTCTGTCTCCTTGTTATCACCTTGAGTACCAGGCTCCTCAAATGAATTAGGGATGCAGGGACACCATCGTCAGACTATAGCAGTAGGTACATTATCTTTATTCCATCAGTATAGAAAACTGAGACAATCAAATCAAGCTAATTATCAAGTTCACATGGTTAATCACTGACAAAGAACAGGGCTTGAATTCAAGTAATTAAGTTCCAGAGTTCGTCTAAGGCAGTGTGTGTGCCTTTGCACATGTCTTCTAAACTGCATTATTCTTAAAACTGTCTCTCTAGGGGGAAAATAAGCCTGAATTTAATGTCTACTGATACATGCAATGTATATAATGCTTCAGCCTCACTGAAGGAAATTAAGTTAGCTTGGGATGTCTATTTATTTTACTAGAACTTTGGTTTTATTCTTGATCAGCCTTAATTACAATGAACAGAACAAGAAAAGATGAAAAAATGCAGGTTTTATTTAGAAATGCAAAGAGGTATTTTGACATTTATGGTGCTCAAGGGTTTTGCACAAGTCAGAAAGAAATGAGATCGATTACAAGCAATTAGAGGGAATTTTGTTTGCCTACAATCTTCCTAAGATCTGATTTTCTTAAAAATATTATATGTCACCATTCACATTATAGAAATAAGATTTTAATTAGAGGAAATAAATGAGCAAACACATCTAATGTGCCACTCGGAAAGGTCTTAAGTTTAAATCAAATGACCAATTCTTAATGCAGTATCCGTGCATTGGAACCATAAATAACTTCCTTCCCTTTAACTCACAGGCAAATAGGTTGAACACAGCAGCTCCAATTTCCATTATATTCATCCTGAATGTGGTCATTTTTTATCCTTTAAGTAGATGTGATTTTTCTCAGTCCTAAAATATGACTCTTTTTTAAACTGGCTGATCCTAGGTTATATAAGAAAACACTTATCATAGGACAGTTATTAGCCACAAATTATACTTTTGAGGACCTTATCAACTCATCTTTTAATTATGTAAGATAGTTGAAAATCTACTGCATGTGACAAATTTAATACAAACAAGAACCCTTGGTTCTTAACCAAAAGTTATGATCAAAATGACACAAATACATTATTTTCAAAATTGCTATCCAAATGAGATATATGTTACCAATAGATATATTCCAATCAATTTTAATTGTACTATTAAAGGTACTAGGTGAGCTTTATTGGGTCATTAGGTCTGAATTCAATCAGTAAGCATCAGAACTCGTGATATTTGAAAAAGAAATTAAATAATTTAAAATTAGGGGTTTGAAAGTATATTGCCTGAGTACAACATATCAACTAAAACACACTGTACCTATGATTTCCCCTCTAAAGTTAAAAGGAATCACTTGAATGTTGATATTGAAAATAGATGTTTTTGTATTTATAGTACATATGTATATTTCTAATTAAAGTCAGTAGAATTAGGCAAGCTCTACTAAGAATATTCTGGAAAAAGGAGAAAATGTGAATTACATGAAATATCTAATACTTAGTATGAAGTATTCTTTGTCACCTATTATATCTTCTATCAATCACTATCTTTAGATAATTTAGATGGGCTTCATAAATAAGGGCTATTTTAATTATCTCCTGGCCCTTCTCAACCTAAACAAGTTAGACAAAACTAAGATCACACACAAACAAGTCAAGGCTGTCCGTAAACCTGACAGAAAACATGGAAGACAGGTCAGAGACAAGGGGCTTGCTTTCCCAACTCTCCTTGCAGTTTGAGAGTATAAAATGAGATACAAATAGGACCTGGGATGGAGGCCTTTGGGGAACTACTCTGGCTTTGGTCCACCAGGCACCTCCTCTCTCCTACTCTCATGGGTGTTGGAGTGCTTATTCCAGAAAGATCCTCCCATTGTAAGTGTCACACATGAATGGTCTTAGGAAATCTCAGTCTTTTATTAGGTACTGCAAACAAACCCACCTGTTGCTTGTTTCGAAAAGAAACAGTATGGTATCAGACACAAACAAATAGGCCCTCTTGCAGGAGGGACACATCTCAGTCTATAGAAACACCCTTGGACACATTTCCTGAATACATAGTAATACCATGTGGGTGAATCAATGTTTTATCAGTACCTTTCTAAGTATCTTTGATTAACCAGAAAAAAAAATCATTTTGAGGTTTTGAATAGTCTTATTATTTTAGTAATGTCCACAAAAAGCCTTAACTGATTGGCGAATTTTATGTCTGTACTGAATCATTACTTAGTCCACTGGGTACTGTCATGGATGTCTGCTCATTATAGTTTTCAAGGACACAGATAGTTGAGAGCAGCAATCAGTATGTTGTCATGCTCTACAAAATACAAAAGGATCTGGGAAGGTCTCCCATTTCAAATTCACTTAAAACTCATTGCCAGAACCAGGTACTCGCTGGGTACAAGAGTAGAAACTCCACATGCGGGGAAGTGGGGCTGGCAATGTTCTATGGACAGGACTTGTGGGACTAATTCATACTGTGGCCAGCAGAAAGAAGAACCAACCTTTAAGAAGTCATTAGTGAAATAGTCATAGAAAATTATTCTAATATGAATCAATGCAAATAAATAAGGTGAAATGATCAAAATTTTATGACAGACTGAGATAAACAGTTTCCTCATTATCTACTATATTGGACATATAAAACCCTTGAGTAGAGTTCACCTGAATCCTCTGGGGAAATAATATAGGTATTTTCCTTTTCTGATACTTCCGTTATAAAATTATTACTACTAAACTGGGCTAAAATTATTTAGTATTTCATGTAGTTGAAACATTCTCATTAAACTGGGTGCAAATTTAAGCCCACCAAACTCTGTACTGGTAGAGGTATTTTAAATGTGGCTTCCCAAATAATTTTGATAGGCAGGATAGCCTAAGAAAAAATAACATGAATTATTCTCCACAAGTAACAAATAGTAAATACCAAGTTGTGTATATTAAAAATGAAACAGTAGTAATTTATATTGACAACAATATAATGACTATTGATGACGAAAGACTAAAGGAATGATGATTTTGGAGTAAATAATAATCTTGAGAAATTAAGACACACAATGTCTCTGTACTTGTCAGTCACGATAGTTGATATGAAAATTTGGAAGACAATGCCAAGCTAGACAACACACTTATTGATATTTTCTACCTGCAGCCCCTATCTCAGCACAAGAGACTAGTGAAATTACAAAAAAGAATTCCCTACGTAATTTTCAAAAAAAAAAAAGATCAATAAGAAATATTAGCTGCCTAAAGATCAGAAATGTCGATAGGTTAATAACTTGTATCTACTGAGTGTCCCACCAAACAGAAATCCAAAGAAAACCAATCAACGCTCATCATGATGTACAGAACAAAAGCCATATATGTGAACAGCACTATTCCTGTTTTGAGCTTACAGAACATTAGGGAAAACCTAATGGTCAGCGATGAGAGACATCACTGTAACTCCAGAAACTCAATTAGGTTGACTCTGTTAAAGCACTGTTATTATGTCCCCTGGACCTGGCATGCTTGTATAAGCTGAGTTATCAAATACACATACTGTATTTACAATGGGATTGTGAAAATAGATCCCCAGTTTCTTGTCACATTGATTAGAAAATCAAGTATCACTTAAAGCTTAAAAATATACATCATATATGCATGCATATTCATTCTCAAGTGGGAAACAGGCCTTAAACAAAATAAATACAAATGCAGATACAGAAATGTCACTGCATCATAATTTATTTTTGCATTAACTTACACATGAACTTGAAATATATGAAGACCACTACATGATGTCAGTGAGCAACTTTCCCAGCCTTAGTATCTCTCCTCTTTAAATACACATGCTAATAGACAAGGTAGATTAGATGCAGTCTACTTTTTCTTCAGTTGGCTGATTTCGTAGAGAATTATAAACCATGAAACTAAATTGAGTAAACGTTGGAAGTTTGTTGCAAGCAGCACCTTGAGCCAAAAAGAGATGGTTAAGTGTTACCGGAGGCATGTATCTAGAACCCATAAAGATACCATTTGCCTAGACATTAGCTGTTGCAAGCCTATATCCACATAATATACCTACATATATATTCTACATGTTGCCCTTCATAGTGATAGTTAATGACCATATAAGAGGAGGAGGTGGTGGTGGTAATAAAGCCTTTAAAAGTTTATTCTATGTGTGTATTTGCCTGTATGTATGTGCATGGTGTCAAGGAGGTCAGAAGAACGCAGAGACCCTGAAATTGGAGCACAGATGGCTGTGAGCTACCTTGTGGGTGCTGGGGACTAATCGTGGCCTATGTAAGAACAAATGCTCTTAATTCCCAAGCTAATTCTCCAGCCCTTAACTCACCCACCCCCTTGAAAACCAGACAACTAGCTGATTTTCCTCCCGCCCCTCGACATTTGCCGTCAACTTGATTAGTTTACTCTTTCAACTCTTTCTTAGAAGTATCAAAATTCTTATTTCCCTAGCAACTAGAACATTCTCTTATCTAAACACTTCCTACATGACTGCTTCCCTTCCTTCCTGTTCTTTCCCTCTCACAGAAAGCAAGACGAGCTATTTGTCAATATGCTTTCTGTCTAAGCTAAGTTTCTCTTCATACACCTGCACAGGGAGAGGGCCTTCTGCCATGGTGTTATTAGGAAATAGTCAATTTTTAATTCATAGTATAAGATAATTACCCTGCTAAATGTAAATTTGGGCCTTCTATGGCTTATCCTTTAAGAAGTAATCATTAGAAAGTGCCTTACTTCATACACAAGGCAACCCCCATAACTTCCTTTGACTGTAAATCTCACAACTTAAAAAGGAATACGGAATTCTTCAAACGAGCTCTTCAAATACAAACGTGTGGAAAGCAAGAGATCAAAGAGCAGCAATGAGCAGTCTAACCTAATAAGCTCTATTGATCAGAAGCTCCGCAGATTCTCCATCTGAAAGCGCAGTGATGAGAGTCAGCAGTGGCTGACCTTAAACGCTTTGCAGCTGTGATTGGCTCACAAGGAAAGCAAACAGAACAGAAGACGTGCCAAGCACTAGCACAATAATGCTGCCCGCCTGTCTGGCTCAAGCACTAGTAAAAGTTTTTCTTCTTCAGAGCCAAGAGGACCAAAATGATTGAAATGTTTTAATGAATGAAAAAAGAAGCAACGGAGATTAGCCTGTCCCCACCATCTCTAATCAGGGCATTTGGACTAAATTAGCCTGTCAACATGTGTTCCAGCCAATGCTAAACTTTTAGGAGACATGCAGAAGAACTGAGAGTCCTAAAGTAGAGCATGACTACCAGCAGTCAAATAAAACAGGGTTTTAAGTATGCATTTAAACATTTTACAGTATTGACAGCTCATCACTGACATTCACTCAGAACCTGCTTCACAGACTCCCTGATTAGATAGAGCACAGCACATCATATGCTCAGGTATTCAGAAGGGTGGGTCTTCAATAATCACTAGTAAATTCACACAAATAAACCACAGATCTAACTTACCATAACTTCCTGTGACATTAGCACATATAACAGCCCCAAAGAATTCTGGAAAATACTCATGAATTCTTGAAATAACTTTTTGGCAAGCTGTGGCTGGGTCCTCTCCTCTTCTCATATATTCCACAGCTTGGTAGCTAATTTAGATGGAGGTGACAACTTAATATCAGAGCACAGAATAAATATTAACTCCACATTAGGCTAAGTTGATGTGAAAAAAATCTGAAAGGACCATACTGTCATATTTAGCATAATACCTATGAATGAACATGAGTCAGTAATCCCTGTCATAGTCTTGTAATTCCTATCGGGGCAAGCAAATCCTGCTACAATGTCACCTATTCAACTCATCCACCATTAATTTCAGATGAGGACAATTATTTCTGGCTTTGGCTGAATAACTGTCACTTTAATAATAAGAGCCAGAAGTCACAAATAAAAGTTATATTTGCATGAGGAAAGAAGCTATAATCTCAGGAGAAAATACTGTACATGTTCCAAACGTACAGTAGTAGTTATCCATTGACCACAGTGACAACACTGTCTACTTTTCTCAGTCCCTTCACTACGGCCTTACATCAATTAACTAAACAGATCATAGGCATTCTCCTCTATGAAGCTCAGTGAGACACATTTCATTTCCCAAGATAATGATGACTCAAGGGAATGATAACAAACTAGCTGGCAAAATAACAGCAACACCACCACCAAACCAAAAACTCTTACCTATAGTTTCATGCAAACTTTCGTGCACATGAATTCAGACAACACACTACAAATATCATCTGTGTCCAAACATTATATGTGTCTTCTAAGCATCTCTAGGGTTTACAAAGGTAAGAAGTCACACCTTGGCAGAAAGCGCAGGAGTACATCACCATCCCCTGTGGCTGCAGCTGCCCCAGCCAGGTCATCAGCATAGGCCCCAGCTCCAGGTATTGGTGAATCTCCTACACGACTTCATGGTAGAGAACATAAGAATTTAGACTAGGAAACCAAGTGTAAACTAAATCATGTTAGAAAAAATTTCAAAATTAAGGGCTGTTTCCACACTACCACTTGTTATTGTTTTAAGTAAGTAAGTTCTTCACTGCATTTTTGTTTGTTTTTCAATTACAGTTTTCAAACAGCTATGTTAATTATATGACTGTTTTCAGATAGATATGCAGTGTAATAAAGCTGAATTAATAGAAACAGATTAAAATATTGGTTTCCTGATAGCAGGGAGAGGGTGCTTGGGGAGATGCTAGCTGGCAGAAAAGGAATTTAAATTAAACCTGGGGGGGGGGTAAGCCTGGAGATCTGCTGTACACATGACACTATATTTAATAATAATACATTTCATATGTAAAACCCACTAAGAGAATAGATTTTGAAAAGCATGTGAGGCAATGCAGAAGTTGAATAGCCTGGTTTAACTATTTCACATTTATATCTATGCAAATATCATACTGTACTCCAAAAACTACATACTTTTACTTATCATTCAAATTTTAAGCAAAAACTTGTCTTCTGTCATTTTAGATCACACAGATTTACAATGACTGTTCTATAATTACACCTGTCTCAATTTCTGCAGTGCTTAAACCCTTATGAACTATTTTCTTACACTGCTTCCTAGTAAGGTGCCAAACTTACCAGTTTCCTTGTTAATAACCTATTTAATGCCTGTTTTCTACTTAAAAACAAAGCAGCAACAACAAATCCACACAAACCTACAACTCCTCAAGCACACCCCTTGAAATCAGGCTTTGGTTATTGGTAGTCTTCATCTTCACTACTGCCACACACTAGTCTGTACACAATCCAATGTGCATATGCACACACAAACACACAGAGGCACACACTCACACTCCAACTTCTGTTCCAGCCAGATAAGCCCTCAACCTGAAGCTGTACTACTTGTATATACATGTGCCATTGGCTCCATATCCCCCTTCAGTCATGTGTGTTCAGGTCCCAGACTCTACCACTTACTTCACTGGTATCACTAATTACTCAGGCTCCATATTAACGCCTGACACTGCTGAACTCTGAGCCACTGGCCGAGGTGATTGCTTTGGCCATTAACATATTGGTAACGTGCTTACTTTCACATTTATCTGTGATGTAAGGGTTTCCCTTTATATTTGGTACCCAGCACAAGCTCTGGAATATATTGCTTTTACATGTGATACATATTTGAGAAATCTGTTTTTGAGAAAACACTAACCCAGGTATTTTAAATTTTAAACCATTTGTGGATGTGCCTGCGGCGGTGTGTCCCATCTTATCGATTACAACCATGCCTAGAGGTAAAAAAAAAAAAAAACAAAAACAACGATGTAAGTACCCAATGTAAGGACACAGGCATTATGCTAGCCTGCCCGTTACCTGTCAGAATGTACTCTGGCAGTACCCTGGTCAATCCAGGGTTCCATGAGTACTAGTCTGCAGGAAAGTGCAAAGGACCCCTTTAAAAGACCCCGCCCACTTACTCTCCCCCCATTCCTGCTCTCTTTCTCACTTTTCCCCTGAGATCACAGGCCTTTTCCTATCTTTTCCTTCTGTCCTCTCTGCCTCTGTGTAGTTTTACCTCTTTTCTCCCCACCCCTTTCCTTTTCTAATAAAACTTCTCACTAAACTCTGTCTGTCTGGCAGTTTGTCCCTCTGCCTTGGTCAACCTCACCTGCCATAGAATCTGCCATGGGCAGGAGGGATGGTTATTAGGGCAATACCCTAATGAGTGATTAATATAAGAGATTGAGAAAACTAGACATGGCACCTGTGAGTGTAATGATTACATGAGTGTAATGATTAATACAAGAGACCAGAGAAAACTAGATATGCCACCTATGAGCCAGGAAATGGGATCTCAACACACAAGGAAACTGCCAGTGTCTATCTATATCCTGGAATTATCCCTATCTACAACTGTGAGAAAAATCCATCAAGTCTGTGGTACTGTGTTTTTACATACTGACTCCATTAAGAAAATAAAGTATGTTCTTTCTTTAATTACAGGTAGAATAAAAGGAAAAATTAAAAATATTGAAAACTATCAGTGCTATTATACTGCTAATGACTTGGTTTCATGGTATCATTGGACAAAAAAAAAAATCTCATATTTTTACTCTTCAAATCTACCAGGTACTTTTAGTACCTTTCAAAAGCAATTCTACCCCTCTCCTACAAATCATCGATTTTGATTAAGAGAACTTGTCAATATTTTAGCTTAGGAAAATTATTACAAATCATTTTATATATAGCAAATTACATGAAGTAACTAATCAGTGTTAAATATTAACAATTTTATAATCTACATGTTAATAGTAATGGATATTTGGTGTCTTGTATAAGTAATTACAAAACTGTATACAGATGCTAAGACAAAATTATATTTATGCAATAACAACATGAATTTGCATGTGTTTAAGCACATTACATATGTATATCTGTGCATGTACATATAGTGAAAGGAAGATACACATAAGAAGAGGGTATTTACTTGACATTTAAAATAATGAAAGCTAGCTAACTTCTGGTCCATGAATATGAGCTGTAGAAGGTCATTAAAATAATACATACAATTACATAAGAAGTGAATTACCAATAGTATCATGACCATGGATATCCACTTCTTTATAGGCAGGAATACCCTGCTCCAAGACACCAGATGGTTTGTAGGGTCCACAGTATTTTGAAGGATCTGGTGTAACTTTCTGTAAACAAGATTCAAGTTTTTTGGTTAAAAAGGGTGTTTTTTGGAACTGGCAAATAACTGAGTACAATTGCCAATCACTGGTGAGAAACCACAAAGACATCAGTAAAACAGAGTTCAAAAGTGAGCTTAACCTTAAGTGAAAACTGATAATTATCAAAATTGAATAATATAGACTAGACAGCTAAGAACGAGCCAATGGATACCATTTTTATATGTATATAATCTTCAGAATAATGGCAGACATAGACTTCCTTCTAATTATATATTAATCTCAAAAAAACAAGTATCCAGCCTGATCTTTACCTGTCACAATATGGTTCTTGGTTGACAAATTCTGAGAATTTAAGCAAAACATACTTTTAAAAATATTTATTTTAATCTAGGTTTATAAGGTGTCCAACTTTAACACAGAGACATGACAATGTCAGCTATAACATTCATACCTGAGAACTGCTCACTCAAATCAATGCTTCACAAAATGTGGTATTTTAAGTACTTCATGAGATTGTGTCACACACGACTATCTTCAGCTCTCTTTAGCTTCATGGACCCTGCAAGCAATGGACTGGACCATTCTAAATAGCTGTCTAAGATTCCTTTAAATATTAAAAGTACAGGAATATACAAATAAATTTAGGTTTTCTGTACAGACTGGTATTAGCTAAGAACTTACTACAGGTTGAGTACCCCTTATCCCAAATGTTTAAGAACAGGAGTGTTTGGAAAATATTTTAGATTTTGGAATTTTTACATGTACTGGAAATATCTTGCAGATGGACTGAAGACTAAGGACAAAATTCACCTATGGTTTATGTCTATCTATATGATTAGTGGAAGATACCAGTATAGACTTTTAGTTGCATTTGTGGCCAGAAAGCCATGTATTCCATGAAGTAGCATGGACTTTTGAACTTGTACTATGGCATTGTTGGTGCTGAAAACGCTTTGGATTTCAGATTTTTAGTTAGGGTTGCTCATTCTACTCATATTGTCTAACATTAGCACACCAGGTTCCCATTCAGCTGTTTTATGAAGAATTTAATTTTTTGAACTAAACCCTGAGAACCTTGGTAATTAGGATCTAAGGAACAGATTAGAGACTAAGATATTCTTGAAAAGAAATCTGTGTGGCAAAATCAAACTGACTTATGGTAAAATTCCTAGTAAAGAACACTGATCCCACTAGGGGCACACTAGACACCTGTTTAAATCTTCTAGTCAAAGTACGGGCAATATACTGCATATACTTCACATGGATAATATCTAAGAAACACTTCAGACTTTGGATTTTGTTCCAAGAAAATACAAGTGAAATAATGTTGTTAGAATCCGTTCCTTTCTTCATAGCAAACTTTGAGTTTACAAGTTACTGACAGCAGGAATCAATAACCCCAGGGATCACTAAGCATTTTCAAATTACTTTTTAAAGTTGAATTTGCATACATACTCTCCAATAATTTGGCTGGCAATTCTGAGCAAGCCATTCTGAATGAAGAGTTTTCGAGGCCCTGGTAGACAAATCCTCATTGGTAAATCCCATACTTTCAGCAAACTTGGTGGCTGGAGATGAAAGAGAAAAGTGTAAGCCCATGCATTTATTTTCTAAGCAAAATCATGTACTAGAGGCATTTCTGGTCATCTGTCTTTCACAAAAGATACAGAAAGACATCTGCAGAGGGTGGTACCCAAGGCCTTTAAAGGAATTTCTGGACATAAACAGTTTTAAGGGAGTCATTTCTGGACTTGCAGCTTCCCTGTGTCCTTTCTATTAGAGAACTGTTGGAGACCTTTGGTGTGTGTGCGCGCATTTCCGTTACTGCCTTACTTACACCATCTCCTACTTCTACCCTGCAGGAACTGCAGCCTTTCATAATATACAGCTCATCTACAGAATTGACTCCTCTGAATAGGGTGAAAAGAACCAGACAGACAAATGGATTCCAAAGACCACAACACATCCTTTTCAGAGTCTGTAATACTATTCCAGGACTATTAAGGTTGATTCATCAATATATCATTAATATATATTTTATATTTTATTTTTATCATGGGCTATTTTATGACCTTGCAATGGAACTTGGAAAGGACTCAAATGACACTGTCAGAGGACTCTCCTTTCGGCACTATTGTCTCATCTGAGCAGTACACCCAGGGTCTTACACCTGCAGAACTGCAATGTAGGAAGAAAACTGATGGTGAATCTGTTTCCCTAGCAGCAATCACCCATTGACAGATAACAATGGCTTGCTTAAAATGCAAGATTTAGAAGTAACCTATCCAATTAACCAGATATGAATTTGAACTTGGATCTCTACTTCACACTGAGTTCTATTTTTTTTTTTTTTTTTTTTTACACTGAGATAGACAAAAATGAGTTTTCAAAATACCTGACTCCCCTACTAATAGCGTGTGTGTTGTGTGCTCCAGGACTCTCCGTGCCACTCCAATAGCATTTTTAATTCTTCTGAGGCCACCTACTGCTCCCACATCCATGGCGGTGCTGTAAGGCAACAACGCCTGAAGATTTACGAAGGCATTTTCTCTTGGTACTTGAACAGAAAAATTGCATCTCTCCAAGCTGCAATGTGTTGAAGGCTAAACTCCATCTTGCCACAGCCATGAAAACAACCCGTGAAGTTCATGGATTCCCACAGACAAAATTAAAGAACAGAAAGTCAATTTACAGAATATCTCAACTCCTTATTTTAAACACAATTTTTAAAAGAGGCCTTCAGGCTTCAGGTCACTGAAACCACAGCATTTGTAGAAGGGCAGGTCAATTTTTGGGTCAGGGGCACAGTTTTGTATTTTGGGTTTCTCATTAGTCAGAGCTACTTAACCACTTATTTGCTCTGATAATCTAATCAGGATGACCTTTTGGTCAGTCGTCTTCCTTCCTTCCCCTCTCTCCTTCCTTTTAACTCTTTGTGTTTAGAAAAGATAAGTGCTACAAGCAAGGAGTGGCCACACTAATGCACAAGCCCACCATGAAAGCACAAAGACAAGTTCCGAAGAACATTCTTACCCATCCATGATCATGGCATCCAGGGTGGTCTCCCCAAGTTCATCAGGACTTCCTCCAAAGCCTACAGTGCCATCACACTGCTCTGCTTCACAAACAGTACAGCCATTCTCAACTGCATCCACGACAGACCCTCCAGATGCTATTGTCTGCCATGCTGTTAAATTCCAATAGTGCTTATTTAGTCTTATATTTTTCGATGTGAAATGTAACCGGCTAAGAACATTTCAGGAGGCCTATTTAAGTTTTTCTTTTCTTAACACTTATACTGTGAAGCTGAAATTTTAACAAGTTATTTTATCAAATGTACAAAAGTGTGGCAAGGAATTTAGAACAATATAGACAAAATTACACCACTAGTTACTATAAAGAATGAAACAAAGACCTTGGCTCTTAGTGGAAGTGAATATTTAAAAAATGTATCAGTAGGGCTGGGCAGTGGTGGCACACACCTTTAATATCCCAGCACTCAGGAGCCATCTGGGTCTACAAAGCTACAGAGAAACCCTGAAAAAAAAAAAAAAAAAAAAAAAGAACACAAACTTATCAGTAACTGCTTCTTCTGTGTAGTAAATAGGTCATCTTTAAGAAAGATAACTGAAGCTATTCAGACAGTTGAATGGAAACATATTTTCAACGAAAGCCTTAAAATTTTTCATTTGTTTTGTGAGATAGGGTCTTGCTACCTAAACCAAGTCCAGTATAGCCAAAGCATGTCTATAAATCTGGATCTTTGTACCACAGCTTCCTGAAAGCTGGGATTACAGCCATGTGTCACTCATTAGATTACTAAAATATGTACAACTAACACTTCATTGACAACACTTGTCATAGCAAGTCTCAGCACAATATTACAAAAGGAAACAACCAAAGTTACATGGGTGACTAAATGTCATTTTCATGAAGCTTCTGAGATAATATTTCAATTATAATTATTGTCTTCAAGAGAAATGGATAGATGTGAAGTAATTCATTCAAGGCCACACAATGTATTTCAAAGGTGGCCCAGTTTCAAAAGCAGTCACTTTTTTCCCTAGTGTTCTGTGGGTATACATGAATTAAGTGGGTATGTCTTGAAAGGCCAGCAGTGTAAATTTTTGAATGTTGATTTTTAGAATAGCCCCTGTTCGATAATGGCAACTTACACAGAACTGTCCCCTGCACATGATGTATGTATATTATATATTTGTTTCGTTATTGTTGGGGGGTCTTTTCTCTCAGTCTGACTTCTCACTTTCTTATTCCCAAGCATGCCCCACAACACACAAATTTTCCTACACTGAGTTCTGGAACCAGTTGTACCCACAGACATTTAACATGATAGCAGTCTCAAATGTACAGCCGCTCAAGAAACTCTAAGGGTAACGTTAATGCATAACCAAGGCTGAAAGCCTTCATTCCAAGTGGCAAGGACAACATAATAAGCGTCGACCAAACATAAATATGTCCACGGGAAATCACCAGTTGTTCCCTAAACTGGAACCCATCCGGTACTGGGGAAACAGGAGGCATTCACAAGAAGTGGGGTGTGGGAGACTGAAAACACTATGGCTATGAGGCCATGCCACAAGAGTAAGGAGGGTGACAAGGGAGGAGTGAAGCCAAGGCCTGAGAGTTTGAGGTCGCGGGGAGCAATAAACACACCCTAACCTAACGTGCCGCAGTGGCAGAGAGGATGGAGAAGGGGTCAGGTGCCAGAGCGGTGCAGGAGAAGGCTGGAAGGAGGCCCGGGCCGCCTGCACCGCTCACTCGCCCTTAACCTCAGCAGGGTCGAGCACAGCTTCCCAAGGCGGCGCTCGCACAGCGTGGCCTCCCACCCCGTGACGCTGCTCCGCACCTGCGTTCGTAGCATTCTTAAAAGGCCAAGTGTTCAGGACCAGGGGTAGGGGACTGGAGCCTTGCGCTAGGGGGACACCCAGCACGAGCGGCAGCAGAAGCAAAGGCAGATCCGACTTCCGCGCCATGGCAGGGGTGGGGGTGGGGCGCCAGAAAAGTCCCAGCTAGCCGCGAGCTCAGCGGGCGGCGCGAGAAAGGTCTCGGCCAGCGCAGACTCTGAAAGTCTCTATTCTCTTTGGTCTCTTCCCCCACTACCCCATATCTCGCGAGATGAGGCCTTCTGGTGAGCCTTGGAGGTTTCTTATTTTTCTTCATTTCTTCCTCCCTCCCTCCCTCCCTCCTTCCCTCCCTCCCTCCCTCCCTCCGTCCCTCCCTCCCTCCCTCCCTCCCTCCCTCCCTCCCTCCCTCCCTCCCTCCCTCCTTCCTTCCTTCCTTCCTTCCTTCCTTCCTTCCTTCCTTTTTTTTTCTTCTTATTAAGTCTGGTGCTCTGGTTCTGTACTGGTCACCTCTGAGGAGCTCTTTTTAGATTTTTGGGATTTTTTTTTTTTGGTTGCTTGTTTTTTTTCTTTTTGTGCCGATGTGCTAATACATGTATACTTTTAGTGCTTTACTGAAGTATAGCATGCTGCTTAGCTCGAATTTAAAGGTAGCTTGACCTCTAAAAAGTGAGTAGGAAGTTATGCAATCCTGAGAGGCACAGCACTAGGAACCTCAGATAATGGTTAGATACTGTTTGACATTTTTAATATTTGCCAACTTAAATGGAAATTAAAGATAGGAAGCCGGACCAACCTAATTCGTACCTTACCTGGATTTCCTCAAAAATTTAAAATGATTACAGTACCAAGGCGAAGTGATTCTGCTTTGGACCAGACTCGTTTGAGGTATGCTGGATGCATCATTTCTTCACCACAGCTTTTCATAGGACGTCCTTTTGTTACAAATCCCTGAGCTGGAAGGAAAGGACACGCTGGGCAAATAGAAACATACCCTTTACATTGCCCACTGAAGTGCAGACTCCTTGCCTCCAGCCAAGAAGGCTAACTCCATTCTTTGCTGAAGGTAATTTATTTTATCTTCATGCCTGGCACCATTGAGTACTAAATAAATGTTTGAATAAAAGGAGAAATGGGACATTTACATGCATGGTACCGGCTGCTGGGTTTGATAATTCAGTTGGTACGCAGATGTGTGAGCATGGACCAGTAATCCCACTGGGACTCTGGGATGCCTGTCCATGTAGCGGAAGGAAGGCATAACTTTAAAGAGCATCTATAAATCTATCCAGACTGGTAAAATATGAACTAGATGGGAGTTGTGAGGCTTAGAAAAATCTTCAAGGTTCTTAATGAATGAAAACTAAATCTGCAATTTAAACAGCATAAGATAGCCTAGAATTATTCCCAGGCAGGGAAGTGCTATTAAAAAGTTAGGTGTAATTAAAAAGAAATGACACATGATCCTTCTATGGGGTTTTGGAGGAGGACCAAGCTATTTGTGCTGTGCTAATGAGCATAAAGCTCATGCTAGGTGAGATGGGAAAGATGGATGAAACAGAATAAGAAAGCAAGGAAAACACTTATTGTCTTCAGAATTAATTTTCCGTGGCACATGGGTTGTTATTTATAATTTCAAAGAACTGAGACGTGCCTTCAGAAATTATAAAATATAATACATGGAGAATTGGTCTCAGTCCCTGCAGCTCATTTTTAGGTGGTAGAGTTCCTTCAGCTGAAAGAACCCAGACTCTTGCAGAGGCAAGACAGCAAGAGAGGCAAATTTAAGGGAACAAGAAAAGAGAGGAAACCCTCCTTCCTGGGATCTAATTTGCCTTTCCTGCTGAGAGTCCATAAACTTCAAAACTGATAAAGCTTTTAGTGTAGAAAAATGTATTTTTCCTAAGGACAGATCAAACAAGGGTGTTAAAAATGACAGATAAACAATCTTCACTTAGAGAAGATTGGGGGTTACCTTGGATTTTACAACATTGACACCTCTGTCTTATCCCTAAATCACACAGTTGTCTGTAAAAATCTCTGAGCTGGAAGAAAATTATATTTAAATTTTAAGTTTTTCTACATCTTAAAATCATTGTATCCCTTAAGGAATGTAACTTTTTCAAAAGATCACACATGCCCACATTCACAGACACTCATTGTGAAAACATTCAAGCACAATTCTGCTGAGAGAAAACTTTACCCATGTTTTGGAGTTGTACAGTGTCCTTAATAATGTCACTAACTTGGCTCAGGCTGGCTCATCCTCAAATTCCCTTCCTCGGCCTACTCAAAATTTCGAGTCCATCCTAGGATGGAAGGAAAGTCCAGGCTCTTAGTAATAAGCTGTGTTAAGCTGTGCCATCTTCCCACTTATCGCGGTTGAATAAGGATCAGGATAAACAAATAGGCCGAATAGATGTTTATTCAGGGAGAAATAACTTACAACCTAGACAGATGAACACCAGGAAATTCAAGGTATGGTTTAGATGGGATATAGGTAGATTAGCCTATTTTCTTGAGAATTTGAGTAAGAATGAGATAGTATTTTACAGCTTACATTGTTGTGTATTCTTATGTGGTAAGCTATGTAAAATTAAGTTTATATTTTGTTATATTGTGTTAAATCTTTCCACTTACAATGTTTTATGCACATTATTTTTACCATATTCTATGTATGTATACTTTTCTTGTATTCAAGACATTTTGTATATTGATACAATTTGGGATATTTATCTTGCTGCCCTTTATAGTTCTACCTCTTGTCTTGACACTTATACTCTACCTCTATTTTAGGGATTTACATGTATGTATATGTAAATAGTTATATTGTTTAAGTATTTGTTCCTGCTTTACTCAGGGAAGTTTTAATCAGTCTTTTTAGCTAAGTTCCTGAGCATTACAGATTATCTTCACTCACATTTCCTGTACCTATGAGATTAGTCAGATATAGATGCTTAATCTTCAATCACTTCATAGACATGCTGTTGTTGTGGTCTGTCAAGTTCTCTTGGCCTTAGCCAAATCTGGGTGTACCAACGTTGCTGTGAGACCTAGGGTGACTGTTCAGGTGGCTTGCTGTTTCTGTCCTTGCTGCACCTTTTGGAAGTTGTCCATCCGCATTTCCTGTGTGGATAGGCAAGTCTCCTGTGTTCAGATTCGCTCCAAGAAGTCCCCGGAAGTAGTATGGACTCTAGCCAACGGCTCTAGCCAATGGCTCTCAGAAGAGGACAAAAGCTGGGCTGGTACTTGGGATGTTTCTGCACCAGTAGATGCATATCTCAGTGGGAATTGGCACTCTCTGCCTGAGGCCTCTTTCTTTAGCAGAAGCCCTGCTTTGGGGGTCAAGGATCTTGCTGGCAAGAACTCAGAGTGGACCAGCAGAGATAGGCAGATCTCTTGGAGGGGCCTGGGACTCCAGCAGAGGACTGGAGGTGGGGGTCAGAGACCAAGAAGGTGGAAATTACAGGTGGTCCCATGTGGATAGGCATGTCTCTTTGTTCAGAGTTGCTCCAAGACATATACCCAAATGATCCACATCCATGCAACAAAGACATCTGTTCAACTATGCTCATAGCAGCACTATTTGTAATAGCAAGAACCTGGAATCAACCAAGATGCCCCTCGATTGAAGAATGGATAATGAAGATGTGGCACATCTACACAATGGGATACTACTCTGCAGAAAAAAATAATGGTATCTTGAAATTTGCAGGCAAGTGGATGGCACTTGAAGAAACCATCCTTAATGAGGTAACCCATTCACAAAAAGAGGAACATAGTATGTACTCACTCATAATTGGATTTTAGACCTAGAGCAAAGGATCACCAGCCTATAATTCACACCACCAGAGGAACTAGGATACAAGGTATATTCTAAGAGATTCATATCTTAGAAGCAGGAAGGGGCAAGTCCCCCAGAGTACAGGGGAAGTGGAGGGGGAAGTGAATGGAGAGAGAAATAGGAGAAAACGAGGGGGAGGAAAGCAAAACACATGGGACTAGGAAGATTGAGCCCGGTTAGGAATAGAAGACAGAAGAGAGAGAAAGAGAGAGAGAGAGAAAGAGAGAGAGAGAGAACATAAAAGAGGGAGCCAGTATTGGTTTGAAGATAAAATTGAACACAAAGGAAGGTCTAGAGAACTACAATACTGTTGCCAGCTAATAATTTGAGCTTCCATGGAAAGGCTACCATAAATGCCCTTCCTGAAGAGTGAGATCAACAACTAATTTATCCATGGAGCCCTCATCTAATGCCTTTTGGAAACAGGATCAAACACCCATACATAAACACTGAGTCAATCTAGAACCCAGATGCAGACGTAGAGGACAAGACCAGGCAGCAGAAACACATAGAGACAGCTTACCTGAACAAGTAGGATATAAAGGGCCCCAAGACTGATAGCTGGGAAGCCAGCATGGTACTGACTCAGGCCACCCCTGAATATGAGTCTCAGCCAGAAGCACTGAGCAGTCTAAGGGACCTCAGACAGTGGAACCAGGATGTATCCCTGATGCACAAAAGGACCTTGGGAACACATCCCCCATGAAGATATAACTGCCTTAACCTAGAGACAGGAGAGGATCTCTAGTCCCTACTTCACATGACCTGTCAGATCTACACGACCCCCAATGGATGGCATTCCCCTACATGGAATTAGGGAGGGGAGATGGGAGGGGAGGGTCATTAGGGTGTATGTGAGATGGCAGAGAGGGTAAAAGTGAGGGAGGGAGGGAGGGAGAGAGGGAGGGAGGAAGGGAGGAAGGGGGAACTGGGATCGACATGTAAAATGATAAATTAAAAATAAATAAAAAAATTAATAAAAAAATGCTTTGACTCCAAAATTTAAGTTCGAGGACAAGTTACTGGGGAAAAGGATTTCTATTTTTCTTTCCACAGAAAATGAAAAGCGGTGGAATCCTTCCAGACTAATGTGGTTTGATCAAGCCAGATCGCCTGAAACAGAGTCAGAGGTGATCCTACATTCAAAACAGCTGGACAAAGCAGCCTTACAGACTACAGCCAGGATTTGTGCATCTTCTTAGAATCCCCCATGACAGCACCCCTTACCAGCAGGAAGTAGTTTGGAAAGAATGACACCCAAATTCCCAAATAGTGTCTATAAATTTTT